AACAAGTGGAAAATGGACATAAGTGATTTCTAAAATTCATACTGTAAAATAAATAGATTATTTGAAAGTCTCTTGTGGACATTTCTGGCTGAAAACCCCAATTATTTTCTAGGTTGCTCTTTGAGCCTGTCACGACACCATGTGGACACACGTTCTGCCTGAAATGCCTTGAGCGCTGCCTGGACCACGCCCCCCACTGTCCTTTGTGCAAAGAAAAGCTCTCAGAAGTGAGTATTTCTTGGGAAAATACAGTGCAGCCCTGCTTGTGTCCCCTCTGTAGATGCTCGTTTCATGGGTGGGCATAGCTTCTACCCCATTTGTTAAAGAGGTTGGATTTCCGCAATCAGAGATTTTTTTTCCATCTCTCTGATTTCTTAAAAAAATACACAGGGGAAGTTTAGATGTAGGAACAGCCGAACTTCAAGGAGACTTTCAGGCATGAATTACAGTTGAGCTTCACTGGAAATAGCTAATGTTTTCAGAGCTCTTACTCTGTGTTAACTGTAAAGAGTGGAGATACCATCGCTGTGTCCTCACCGTGTGTTAATCATAAAAGGTGCAGATAACATTGTGGTGCCCTTAACGTGAGCCAGGGATTCCCTTTACCGCATCTCAAGGTGGAGTCATATTATGGTGCTTGTTCTGCACGGGATTGAAGACCCGGCCATTTCAGACTGTTAGGACGTCCCTGTGGTGCCCCATCAGTTGCTAAGTGTACTTTGTCTGAAATCAAAACTGGTAAAACTTAATTTCCAGCAGGAAGCTATTTAACTGGGTCTAAGCCAAATATAAACCACTAAATCCATCTCTTAGGTGTAATAAATACAATAAACACCATTTAAAACACATCAGCTTTCTGATCAGTTTCTCAAATAGTGCATCTGTATCAGCTGTATCAGGCTCTGGCCCTGTTGGTGCCACTGACTTTCCACAAAGCAAGTTACTTAGCTTCAGCAGGGAGAGGATCTCCCCCCCCTACTCCCATCCGTAAAATGATACTGTTGCCTTAGTGACCTCCTACAGATTAAGCTCATTTAATGCATCTTAAGTAGGATAAATATTTTTAAAACAAATGTACAGTAGAGTTCATTTTTAAAATTTGACATAGTTAAGAGGAGATATTATGCTTAAGTGACTTTTTAAATAATTGTAACTTTAAAAACTTAAAAAAAATTAACTATTTTGTTGGTGGGGGGTAATCTGATTGATTGATTGATTGATTTTTAATGGAGGTACTGGGGACTGAACCTGGACCTCATGTGTGCTGCGCATGTGCTTTGCCACTGCTATACCCTCCCCTCCAATAATTTTAACTTTTAAATTGACTGATTCAACTTGCTAAAATAAGTGACTGTAATTAAAACCTCTCTGAGATCTTCTGTGTACACACTCGCTTTGTTAAATTGCAGTCATACTGAGACTGAGTTACCTGGAATTCTCGTGATGCGTGTCAGTCCCTATGCAATTACCATGTGTCGTCACGGTGGAGGCTTTCTGAGTCCAATAGCGTCCACGCTGGTGGACCCTGTGCGGTTCTGCTCCGGGGTGTTTGCTGTCTCTTCTTGGTAACAGGGACACGGCATCTGGCCTGCTGCTCGCGGTACCCAAGCTTGTCTGGGCCAGTGGGCCTGGAGATGGCTCGCCTGTTCTCAGAGAGTGAAATGCGTGGCTTTGTGACCACTCTTTGTAACACAAACCCCTCCTTCACTTCCGTGCTCAATGCTGCATAGTAAGGGGCTGTGCGGTGAAGTAGGGCCTGGAGGTTGGCTCTGGATTATAAGCTCTTTAGGGACAGAGATGACATCCGTCTTGTTTGCACTCCGTGTCTAGGAACCCGAACACCTGCTAGAGGTGCAGGAAGTCTTTGTTGAATGAATGAGTAATTACATGCAAGGGACGCAAAGATCGCCAGTGTTCCAGAAATTAGAATATGATAAGCTAAAATCCAAAATCATAATTTGGTCTTTCTTCAATGCAGAGCTCACTGTGCGAGCTTCCCTCACCTGTGCGGTTATAAACGTCAGCCATCCCTTATCTATGTGTCTGCAGGAGTCTTGGTTACCATGATGGCAAGTAGAGCAAAGCTGAATGTGTTCACTCTTCAAGGAGAGGCTGCCATACACTGACGGCGTACGGAATACCCGTGTCGTTAGTAATGAACATCGTGGGGTCGTACTGTGAACTGCGCAATACTTGCTTCTGCTAGTTAGTCTGCTACTGAGGTTCTCAAGTGCAGTGGTTTCTGGAGGTTGAACTCCTCGGTCTCAGTCAATATAGCGATCCATGTGGCTTGTTTGCACAACTAAAGGGGAGCTTGGCAGTATGTCTGGGACTCACCTGGACCTAAGGGTGTTAGAAATGCATTGAGCCAGCCCAAGCCTGGAGATGCAGCAAGTTGCCAGAAACCTACCAGGTCTGGGGTCCCGGCTGTGGCATGGTGGCTCTGTTCTGCGCCCTTACCCTCTGAGACCCGGCTTCTTTGTTAGTGCGATGTAGACAGTACCTTGCAGTGTAGACAGTACCTATGGGATAGTGCTGTTTTAAGACCTAACTTACGGGAAGCGGCCGCAGGTGGCGCTTGAGGTACACCAGGATATTGGTGAAAAAGAGCTATTACTTGCAAATTCATATGCGTGAGATAAAATCAGTGTGGCGTGTGTGAGCAGGTGCACACAGACACAGAGTAACAGTGCTCCAGCCTCGTCTTACCCTTCTACCCGCTGCCCCTCGCACTTTTTATCCAGTCTCCGCCTACGTCCCCTTCACGTCCAGCTTTAATTCCTTGGCCCCCTCACCCCGCTTCCTCAATTCAAATAAAGTCAGCTCTTTGCCTTTTGCATGTCCCTATAAGTAACAGCAAAACTAAAGAAAACCCACAAGGCTGGGGAGATTGGTTTCACTCTAAATTCACAGTCCTAAACCTGAGACACAAAACGTCATTCCTCTGTCTTACTCTGCTTCCCTGGGAGCTTCAGCGTTTCATCCTCCATGGTGACTGTTTTGTGTCTTCCTTCTCCCCCATCACCTCCTACTCCCTTCCTCTTCCCCTCCCTGAGGTTATGATACTGCATGGGGCATGTGGACACCAGCACACGGGAGCTGCCTCCTCCTCCTCCTGTGTGCCTCTCTCCTGGGGTGTGCCCTCCTCACACTCCCCCCATCAGTCCCTGTCTTCTGAGGCTCCACCCCCTACTTCCTTATTGACTTGTCTAGGAAGAGAGCTCTTTGTGTTTTAGATTTAATAACCATATGTTAGTATTTAACATTTTCTCTCCTTACAGTTGTTGGCCAGCAGAAATTTTAATGTAACTATCCTGGCCGAAGAATTAATAGTTCGGTATTTGTCAGATGAACTGTCTGACAGGAAGAGAATCTATGACGAGGAGATGACGGAGCTGTCGAAGTAAGTCCTCCTGCTCTAGGTGCTTGGCCCTGAGTTCAGGTTAAAGAAGAAAATCCTTGCTAACCTCACAGCTTCAGTTCCCACCCCTGCACCCCCCTCCCCCCGGGCAGAGAAATTAGCCTCAAAAAAGAAAAAAGATATTAATTGCAGAGAGGAGAGTTTATGGAAATTTAATGGAACAAGGTTGTAAGAAATATTTCAAAAGTGTGTTTTGACAAAACTATGTGATTACTTTTTACATCTAAACAAACAATATTAAATTGATCAGACTTGAAAAAGCACGGTATGTAGAAACCAAGGGAAGGCAGGGTTACTGCTCAAAATTGGCTTGACATTTTTTTTTCCTCTTTTAAAATGATTAAAATTTTGTGTTGGAGTCACCTGGAAGTGTGGGGACCTTATCAGTCTTCCACACTTTTTTTTATCTAGAACCCATGACTTTTGACTGCTGTGTAGTTTTTGGCTTTCATCAGAATTTCTTCTTGTGTGTTTATTTTTACTGAGATAACTGACCTGTGACATTCTGTTAGTTTCAGGGGTACACCAGCATGAGCTGACCCTTGTGTATATTGTGAAATGGTCACAATCAATCTAGTTAACTGCTGTCTGCAGGCATAGTTACAAGATAGTTTTTCCTGTGATAAGAACTTTTGAGATCAACTCTGTTAGCAACTTTCAAATGTGCAGTACAGAATTATTAACTGTAGTCACCGTGCTGTATGTGACATCCCCAGGACTTGCTTATTTTATAACTGGAAGTCCGTCCCCTTTGACCCCCTTCACCCATTTTACCTGCCACGTCCTCCCACGACCCGGACTGTTCTCTGTATCTGTGAGGTCGTATGTAAGTGAGGTCACGTGGTGTTTATCTTTCTCTGTCTGACTTACTTCGCTTAGCACTGTGCCCTGAAGGTCATCAGAATTCCTTTACAGTGGTCACAAGCGTATTCTCTCTCATCAAATTAAGTAAGAGGACCTGGCCGGAAAGCTGGTCAGTTGAGAACTTTCTCATGCTGTGTTCCTTGGCTTCTTCCTTTTCCCACCCGAGACGGTAAAGGAGAGCATTGAGGTTGTCCAGCTCTGCTGCTTCTCAGTAGCTAGCACGTCCTTCTGTGCTGACAGCTCCCGAGCTCACATTTCTCCTCCCCTGCAGTCTGACCAGAGACGTCCCCATCTTCGTGTGCGCCATGGCCTTCCCCACCGTCCCCTGCCCCCTGCACGTCTTTGAGCCCCGCTACCGGCTTATGATAAGAAGGTGCATGGAAACCGGCACCAGGCGGTTCGGCATGTGCTTGTCTGCTGAGCACGCGGGGTGAGTAAGAGTTATCAGCGTTCAAAGACGGCGTCCTAATCAAATGCATAATTTGCCACTTTTCTTGAAGAAGAGTTTAAGAGGATGTTGAATCTCTCTAGTGGCTCCTGTGATGTGACAGAGGATAAATTCACGGCCGTCCGTGGTGTGACAGAGCCTGAGCTCCTGATCCTGCCCCTCGAACATCATCCCTGCTAGTCCACCGCCGTGTTGTTTGCCCTTCTTTGAGTGCAGTTCACGCTTCCCCCTCTGCCTGTGGTTCTCTTCCAGCTCATCGTTGTGCAGACAGATCTGGTCCAGCTTGTAAGCTCTAAGGGGATCCTTGGGCCTCCGTGAAACCTTTTCTGTCCACACGGCCAGAAGAACGTTAGTCTTACAACAACCCACGGTGCTTGGTTTTTATCTCTTTGTTTTACATCTCTGGTCTCGGGAAGATGTTCCAGATCAACAGGCAGCTCCCCTCCAAGGGCTGCCTTGGGGACCTCGGGTCCTTCCCACCCCTTGGCTTCCTAATCCCCTACGGCTTTGTTGTTACTGTGGGGTCGTGATGGGGTCACTGCATCCAAGGTCTGGCTGGTGGAAGGGCCCCCTGTGCTTAAGGGGGTTCTGGAGGAAAGGAGCCCACGTCAGTCCCTCCTTCTCACGCCTGCTGTGAAGGAGGCGGGGAAATGTAGTCCACCCACCTGCCCAGGAAGAAGGGACAGTGGACTCCTAGGGCCCATTAGTTTCCACCTTATACACCTAGAAACAGGTCTTCTTAAAGCCGTATGTAGAACATTTATAGAGAAAATTGCACAACTTTATTGAAAGATATTCAGGAATGGACAGAAATACCATGTTCGTGGGTGCACAGACTCCATGTCGTGGAGAGAGACTCACTTTACCACGATTGGTCTATAAATCCAAAGTAGTTCTGGTCAACATCCCAAGAAGACTTTTCATGGAATTGCTCAAGCTGCTTTTAGAACCACTGTGTGAAAGCAGGAGACCAAGACCGTGATAGTTTTAAAGAAACCAGCTGAACAAGAGGAGAGAGCATTTCTGCAGTAAACTTCCCCGTCCAAGTGAGAACACTGTTGAAACAGACTCTAGTGATAAGAACTGTGGACTCCAAACTTACCTATAATTTTATGAGAAAAGGCAAAACTACGCAATAAAGGTGCTCACACAGTGGGTCGTCCAGATGGGAAAGAAAATTTCTTCTCTGCCTTCCACTGTGTGCATAAAACAGTACACTCACATTCCCGTTGCGAAGTGTGGAAACAAAATACAAAAAAATTGAAGAGACAATATTGGGGACTATCTTTATAATTAGGAATCGTGAAAGATTTTTTTTTCTTACACAAGATGCCAAGAACACTAGCAGAGAAGAAGAGATGAATGAATTTGAATATATTCAAATTCGATTCATCACCATCAGCATAAGCCAAGTGAAAAAACAAGTTTAGGATGTTACACTTCTAAGACGTTTACTGCAGATAAACTACCGAATGTAAGTTTCTTGAACCCGTCAAGGCAGAGGTTGCTCAGGGTAACTGAGGAAAGACTGGTCCCGCAGGGAGAGAGTAGACAAGAGCCCAGCAGAGGAGACAGAAGGTGTGAGGGAGGATTCAGCCGATTATTTTTGTGTGTGACAAATTTCTGATGGCTTCGTGGACAAACAGAGCCTAGAGCCCCTGGGAGCTGCAGTTTGCAGCCGCTCACAGGTGCCTGTCTGCAGACCAGACGAGATGCTCACGCCAGGCACAGGCTCTGCGGCTGAGACAGACCTCAGGGGAGCTGACCTTTGCAGGCCGTCTGCTGGGACCTGGGCCAACAAGTCCTCCTTCGAAGGGGACATCCCTGCCACGCTGTGGATAAGAGAGTCCCCTTAGATAGGCAGGAAGAGCGCATTTTATCGGCCATCTAGGCAGAGGTGTTGCAGCTCCTCGCAGGCGTGTAACTTGGGAGCTGTCACTCATCATTAATTAGTTTGAAGCTGTGTGGTGAGGTTGTTCGTTCACTTTAGAGTCAGAGCCTTGGGTTCAGATCTCAGATCTGACGCTTACTGTGCCCTTAGGTAAGCTGTTTAATTTTTGCAAGCCTCTGTGTTTTTGTGAGGCTTGCTTGAGTACACGTGGTAACTTGCTCTCTGTGATACTGGGCACATAGTTGGCATGTCCAGATATGGGGGTCAGTTAACGCCGTGATTGCGGGTGAGATCACATGGGAGAGCTTCGGGGTGAAGGTACAAGTGGTCCAGGGTGCCAGCCTGGGGCCCCCAGTGTGTCTGGGACCCATGGAGGAAGCACGCTGTGAAGGTGGGGACGGGTCAGGGAGGGCGACAGGGAGCCGGAGATGGTGTTGGGTCAGCGATAGGTCAGCAGGGTCTGCCAGCGTCATTTGTGACTACACTTGGGGTGGTGTCAGTGGAACAGTGGGAAGGGGAGACGGAGTGAAGACAGTGGCTGTGGACCACTTTCCATAGCAGCACACTGTGTGGGCAGCCTCGGCTAGGATTGGTGGAAACAAGGTTTGTGGGGAGCAGAGTCTGAGTGGTCCAGGGACAGCAGGCTTTGTGCTCTTGGGGACGGTGCCCTGGCTGGGGGGCTGAGGAGCCACATTTATGGTCTGTCTCTCCCCACCCCTGTTGGTTTGAACATGCCCTTTCCCTGCCGGCCCTTCCTCTTCCGCTGTCCCACACCAGTAGGTTTCATGTTTAAGGAGGAATCAGCTGCTGGTGTCTCTTGGAGAAAATAACCCTGCTGCTCCAGTATGGAGATGCTGTTTGTTTTGTCTGGCTCTCTATTCCTTGAAGATCCAGGCTTTCATCTAGGGGAAAAGGAAGGCCTTCCTGCATTTTTATTTTATTTTATTTTATTTTATTTTATTTTATTTTATTTTATTTTATTTTATTTTATTTTATTTTATTTTATGTTTTGCATGTTTCTGCAGTATAGTCAGTTACAGTGTGTCAGTTTCTGGTGTACAGCATAATGTCCCTGTTTTGCATATATATACAATGAATAAATGAATGAAAATATTCATTTTCATTAGAGGTTATTATAAGATATTGAATATGGGTCCCTATGTTAGACAGAAGAAATTTGTTTTTTATCTGTTTTTTTGTATAGTGGTTAACATTTGCAAATCTCAAACTGTGAAATTTAGCACTTCCCACCCTTTTTCCCACAGTAACCATAGACTGTTTACTGTGTCTGTGAATCTGTTTGTTTTGTAGATGAGTTCATTAGTGTCCTCTTTTTTCTAATTTTTATTTTTTAGATTCCACATATGAGTGATGTCATATGGTATTTTTCTTTCTCTTTTTGGCTTACTTCACTTAGAATGATGATCTCAAGTTCCATCCATGGTGCTGCAAATGGCATTATTTTATTCTCTTTTATCGGAGTAGTATTCCATTGTATAAATGTACCAAAACTTTATCCAGTCATCTGTCGATGGACATTTAGATTGTTTCCATGTCTTGGCTATTGTAAATAGTGCTGCTATGAACATTGGCATGCATGTGTCTTTTCAAATTTGAGTTCCCTCTGGATACATGCCCAGGAGTGGGATTGCTGGATCCTTTGGTAAGTCTGTTTTTAGTTTTTTGAGGAAATCACGGTTATTTCTCCCGACTGTCCCGCCAGGATTTCGGAGTACGGTTGTATGCTGGAGATTAAGGATGTCAGAACGTTTCCTGACGGGAGTTCGGTCGTGGATGCCGTTGGGATTAGCCGGTTCCGAGTTTTAAGCCACCGTCACAGAGATGGCTACAACACAGCAGACATTGAGTATCTTGAGGATGAGAAGGTGAGGTTTATTTCACCGGTGTCTGTGCCGTCGAGGTCCGCCACCTGTCTCCCTCTGCATTATGGGAACACTTGGTCCGATTGTTACTGACAGTATTGCTTATTTCCCCCTTAATTCAGCATGTAAGTTATTTATTATCTCGCTGGATTTTTACCTGAATTAGAGCTGGTGGAAAAATCCTTTTCTGAAAAAAATTACTTCTGCACTTTGCAGAATGTGTTTATGAGTCACTGTTGTGATGTTCTGTCCCCAGGGCTTGGCAGATGTCCGTAAAGGGCAGTAGACACATCAGCTTCCCAGGTCATGTGGTCTCTGTCATAGCCCCTCAGCTCTGCGGCTCTGTCTGAGCCACAGACTGTGCAAATGAATCGGCACAGTTTGTTTCCAATAAAATGCTAGTTACAGATACAGTGAACGGGGTTTGACTTGAAAGTGGTCATTCATTCCTGATCTGGACATTGGTATCGGCTCAGGATGAGACGTAATATAAAACAGCAGTGCTTATAAATACCTCCTAAAGCTAAATATTAACAGTTTGGATCTCTTACCCCTGAATAATCATTTACATGTCTAGTAGAAACATCAAAACATGTATTATTTTGGCAGATTAACAAAATGTTTTGGAAGGATTCTCAGATACGTTCAAAGCAGTCTTACTCATCAGTGGCCCCAAACCAGGAACAGGCCAGATGTCCAGCAGCAGGTGAATGGTTAAACAGGTTGTAGTGATTCAGACAGTGGGACAACCTGGCCATGAAAAGAAGTGAACTGCTGACACTCAGGACAACTTGGATGAATTGCCAAAACATTCTCTCCTGAGCCAGCAGCACAAAACACATGCTGCGTGACTTAATTTATGTACCTCCAGGGACGGGCGTAATGAGTCCCAGGGGATGGAGGTTGGAGAGTGGTTTCAGGGAAGGAGCTGTAATTGACTGGAAAGAGGGTGGAGGAATCCTTCCAGGAGAGGGAAATGAATTATGGTATATCTCAAATACTGGATTGCATGTGGCCAGTGAAAATTATTCATAATCACACTGTGTATGTACTTAAATGAAGAGAAAAATCTGGGTGTCTCAGGTGGACAGAGAGGGTAGGTGGGTCTCCACCGTGTTAAAAGAGTGCAGATCTGTGGGTTGAGTGGGTGTCATGTTCATAAAGCACTAATGAGCTGTCCAAGTACTGAAAGCCGGGAGCCCACGGAGCGGGTGTGGCCGCGGTCCCGTGTGATGAACGCGTGTGTAACGATGAGCTGTTGAGAAGGTCCTCTCTGTCTCCCTCCTTGACCAGGTGGAAGGCTCTGAGTATGAAGAACTCACCACGCTGCATGACTCCATTTATCAGCAGTCCGTGTCCTGGTTTACTTCGCTTCAGGACCACATGAAAGAACAAATTCTAAGCCATTTTGGGTTAATGCCAGACAGGGAATTGGAGCCTCAGGTACACTGTCCTTTTTCCTTTTGTGTTATCTCCTGCTGTCCTGTGCGGAGACTCATTGTGCTGAGGGAAAACTTGGCGGTACCTACTATGCTGCTGGCTCTGTTATGGTCGTGTGTGAACCAGTTCACTGATGAACAGTCCACAGAAGCACCTAGCATGGTAGCCTGTGCCTTTGGGAGCAAAATTAATTCCAATGAATACTACACAAAGGTAATTTCTTTTCTATAAGAAATCAGTTTATTCTGATCGGTTGTCAGCTTTTGTTCCCCTCTCCCCAACATGGAGGATTTGATAGTGATTATGCTACAATGGTGGGAACACTCCGTGTTTGGCACATAGTATTGCCTTGTGCCTGAAGAGCAGGTGTTGGATCAGTGAAGAGAAAATCCTCTAACTCATTGAAGTAGAAGCTTTCCTTGCCCTCTGCCCCATCGCTGTGGGCTTCTTTCCACGCTCCTGGGAGTGCTTTCTGTGATGCTCATTCTTAAGTGAGGCATGGGCTTCAGGTCTGTGAAGATGCTGAGTGCAGGTGACTCCCCTCCCTGCACTGGGGTGACGGGACCAGGCAGGGATGGTTTGGGCTTGTGGCTGAGAGTGTCCAGTTCCTCCTACTGTCCGTGCTCACCTGTCTTGGAGAAAGTGGGGAGCAGGGCCGGGTCTCATAGGTTGAGGGTAGGATGAAATAAATGTCTTTTGTATTTTTTCCATCTGTTTTTTTATGTTCTTTTTCTGTCTCTTGAGGGCTTCTGTCTTTTACCCCTACTTGAGTTCTGTCTTTTACAAACTCAGGACAGTGCTTTACGCCTTAAATCGCCTCTGAGTCCTTCCTAACGCCCAACTCTGTTATAACCCGTCTTCCTCCTCTGTCTCGTGGTCCAGATGCAGAAAGCAAGGCAATGAGACTAACTTGTGTTAAGAGATGAATCATTTTTTCTAGGAATTTTTGCTTATTAGCCCAAGTAAATCTCCAATTCTAACACATCACACTAATGAGGGGCTTAAAACAACAGACATTTATCATCGTGCAGCTCTGGCGGTCACAAGTCTGACAGGTCTCGCCAGGCTGAGGTCAAGATGATGGCAAGACTTGGTTCCTTTCTGAGGGGTCTGAGGGACAGTCCACCGCCTCACCTTTCTAGCTCGGAGGCTGCTGGCTTTACTCCATCCTCCAGGCCAGCAGCGTTGTGTCTCTGACTGTTCTTTCATAGTCAGTCTCCCTCTGCCCGCAGCTGGGATAAGCTCTCTTCTTGAAGGACCTGTGTGATGAGATTGAGCCCACGGGGAAAAATCAATCAGTATAATCTCTCCATCTCAAGGTCCCTCACTCAGTCACGTCTGCAAAGTCCCTCTGGCCATGGGAGCTGCGATGGTCACAGGTTTTGGGAATTGGGGTTGAACATCTTTGGGGGACCATTTGTCTGCCTACCACAGAGGATTTAGGTCCCACGTGGGAGGTGTTTTTATGCAGTGGCCCTTCCCAGTCAGCATGCTGCCAAGTTTTCCCTGGTCTGTAAGAGGAAGAGGGAAAGGGAGCTGTGAACTATAGAGAAGGCCCTTTTGTCCAACACGGTGCCTCCCTCACAGGGACCGGGGCTGCCCCGGGCATGGTCTTCAGTGTCAGTCCTAGTCTTTCGGTAGAATCCACTGCACCCTAAGCTGACTCCAGAGCCACCCTCCCTAGTTCCCAGTTTGGATTCTGCATACTTTTGGAGTGGGGATGGAGGAGAAGCCAAGACAGAGGAAGCAAGGAGGCCTGGATGTGTTGGTTCCAGTGCCAGGCATATTGAGAACAACTTTGGCTTAGAGCTCAATCCAGAAGCATTTGGTTATGTGAGATAAAGACTGTCAGGTAGCATAATTGTGTGTGTGTGTGTGTGTATGTGTATACACACATAATAATAACTCCTTATATATGTTTAGCAATGCCTCATATACATAGATGTTTCATATATAAGTAAGTTTGTCACACTGACTTTATTATAAGATTTATCTTGTGGGGAG